TGGTTTTAAAATCTGCTCTTGCTAATGGGTGAATCGGCGCATTCCACTTGGGCCTGTGCTTGAGCTCCTTCCGCATTCTTTATTTTTTCCTTCTCTGTTCATGCGAGTCGAGAGTCTGCGCTTGCGTATGGTTTACACGCAACTCTGCTTGTCTCCTTGCCTTTTGTGGTGAACTGTTTTTCAAGCTGTTCAATTAGTAAAGCTCACCACATTACTACCATCATGCAACAACTAAAAACAATTACAACCTACACCATTCGCTCAAGGCAGTACCAAACGAAAAAATACAGGGATTGGGTGAGGCATGTCTAACACTATATACTTACACTGAACTAAATATACCTCTCATAAACTGGCGAGACACTACCTTAATCCAGGACATGCTTGTAAATTTCCCCAGAAGCGGCATCAAAAAATTATTTCGTGGGCACAAAGTTTTGCGATCAGGAGCGGTATGCTATGCAAATCACCATGGGATGAATTCATCGCGGCACCAATTTTTGACAATTCTCTTCTGATAACGAGTCACGAAAATAAAGCCGTTTGCAGACGACTGCGCGGCGGAAGCTACGGACTTGCTCGATCCTCCTCTGCCTTTTGCCTGGCTCAGCTCTCCGGACGCAAATACGCACACGGAATCCACCCGTAGTGTCTAACCTAGAGCTTAGACGATGGAGGGGCACCGCGCTGAGTTGAGTGCTTTATTATTTTTTTTTTTTTTGGGGGGGGGGGGGGCACCGCGCTCTTCCAGACATCCTAGTTTACCAGTGAACAATACGGTGGAGGGAGGCAATCAAACTTCCCCCCCTCCCCCTCCCCTTTCCGCCTCCACCCGCCGGCTGGCCGGCCGGCCGGCCGCCCGCACGCCCGCCGCCGCCGCCGCCGCCGGCGCCGCCGTCCCCCCCCCCATCTCCCAAAAAGTTCTGCCGCTATTGATGGACCTGGACCGAGTACACAGCCTATTTGTGAACGAAGCAAAACAGCCTCGCATAGCACCATTCGCGCACAATTAGTAATACTGGTAAAAGCAAGCGATCTAGACAATAATTTCCATCGTAAACCGGAGACACGGAAAAATAAAAAAAACGGACAAAACAACAACAAGTCTCAAACACAGCTTCTAGTTTATTTGAACACCTCCGCTCTTATATATACACAACAACCCTCCTCTCCAAAGGTCGACACACCTCCTCTCCACTCCATCAACGACATCTCAAACTGAACCAATGACACATGCTAACTCCCTTCTTTTCATACCAACCAAAAACTGACCCCTTCCCAATCCAAGAAACAGGCACTCAAACCCTGCAGGGTTTGAGTGCCTGTTTCTTGGATTGGGAAGGGGTCAGTTTTTGGTTGGTATGAAAAGAAGGGAGTTAGCATGTGTCATTGGTTCAGTTTGAGATGTCGTTGATGGAGTGGAGAGGAGGTGTGTCGACCTTTGGAGAGGAGGGTTGTTGTGTATATATAAGAGCGGAGGTGTTCAAATAAACTAGAAGCTGTGTTTGAGACTTGTTGTTGTTTTGTCCGTTTTTTTTTATTTTTCCGTGTCTCCGGTTTACGATGGAAGTTCTTCACCAGCTCGCCTGTGCTTTTACCCTTTCTTCGCTAGACAATAACAAGCATTTTGAACGGAAAAAAGAATAATCTAGCCCTAACGGGCAAAGAAAGGAACTTACTTTGAAACGACCGTGCCATGATCTTGGCTGTTGAGCAGATTCGACGTGGTTCCACGGCTCACAGTCGCTTCCTTCTTTTTCGGACACATTTGAAACTAAGTTAAACTCCACGCATCACGACTAATCGGTAAATTAACCTCAAGACAGAGACGTGAAACACACACGGCCAACACGTCCGGCAAAACAAGGCTGCGGATTGGATTGGATCGCGTTCGTTGGCTATTATGGATGTCTAACGACTTTACGGAATCTATGTGCGCGTATCTTCAACACGCTTGCAATAAAACGATCAGCAAAGCGCATTAAAAAACTATTAAAAGACACAGTAATAATAAATCATTGAGTATGCAAAAATTGCCACAATATTAGAAATACGTCCTGAACACGTAACAAAAAATTACATACAAAACTAATCGTACAATGTATTCAAACGAACTCAACAGACATATAAACTACTAAAAACAACGCGTTTTCGATTTGGTGATTTGGGCTTGGTGGTTAACGCGCGATGCGGGTGATCGTGTGGTCGGTGGTTCGAATCCCGGAAGCGCCAAGTTTTTTACTGTTTTTTGTATTGCGTATTTTATTTCTTTTTAATATTTTTTTTTTATGTTTTTGCAGTTGCCGGGTAAAAATCACGCAAAATGTGTAAATAAGAAGTGCGAGCCCAAATTTAAATTGATGCAATGCACAAGCCGTGGCCCTCTTGTTTTGCCGGGATAATTCGCTCCCTCCGTGCTAATTTCTGGGTCAGTGTAGTAGGCAAACAGCGCAAGTCCTTTCAACGAAGTAAAGAAGGTAATAATAATGGGAATATTGAGAGCAAAATGAGAAAATGAGTTAGTGGTCAAACTGCCACAGTGATGCAGCCGAAGTTTGTCTGAAGCTGGTCAACTTTACCCACTGTTAAAACAGAAATACCGCTATTTTAAGACAGTTATTTAGCCGAGCTCACAGCGCGGTACGTATTAAGCACATCTCTTATTTTTCTGACTTACGGAAAGTAGTACTTAATTTTCTTCAGGTACATCAGTGATTTTTCCCTCGCCTGCCGCCTGATTGTACTTATCGAGGTTGCGCTCCGCAGTTTTACTTTTTTATTAGGCCTAGACATGTTTTTATTCCTGAGATCCAAGAACAGTGCGGATAATTAAACTAGCTTTCAGAGACGGCATCGTTCGGTATTAGAACATTTATGTTTCGCAGCGCCAAGGGGTCACATTCACGACCCGGCAGTGTAAACATCCACAACGCCTTTATCGTGTTAAAACAAAAAAAAAAAAAAGTTTTTATATTTGTTTTTTTTTTGTTTTTGGTGCGGTATGCCGTATATAACATAAGCTACCGGGGGACAGATCGTCTGGCTATGTCAAAATTTGAAATATTTCTGTTAGATGATCGTAACTACCACAGAAAACAGCCGATTCTTGACTGAAATAGCATATTTTCACACTCAATTAAAATCACCAATAACACGATCTCAGGAGAGTTGTGTACCTCTCGTAGCGTCATAAGCAATACACACATCTCTTTCTTGTCCAGATTCTGCAATGCAATGCAAATTATAGTTTTTGTAACTCAAAGCGCGTGCTCAATCATGCCACGTGTTTGTTAATTGTGGTTGTTGCTCTTCATTCGGATTCTCCGCTATACCGTTTTTATTTTAATTTTCTTATCAGAGCCAAATACGTGCGTATACCACCGACCTTAAGTATAGTGCATCAAATTAAACTAGCTTCCTGAAAAGGTATCGTTCGGCGTTGTGTAATTTATTCTTCATGGCGTTGGTGGTCAGATTCTCGAATCCTGAACTGCAAATGTTCCTCGCCGCATTGTTTTTTTCTCGCGTTTTCGCAATAAAACACGTCAGCCTTGCCATGCTGGGATCAAATACACCAGCGTCGGCAGTTATTTGCGAAGGATTGATCTATGCGAATATTTCCACTCGCTATTCATGAATCGCCACAGTTCGTCAGAATCTGAATGACTTGACTGCATAGTAAAAACGGCAAAAAAAAAAAAAAAAAAAAGATAAAACGATGTCGGTTAGTAAACGGAACTTCCATGGCGGGGCTCGCCAGCCTAAACAGCAAAGCGCCGATGCCGGCTAGTCACTGAATTTCCGTGTAAATACTGGCCATCAGAGACAGTAAAGTGCCGATGCCGGCCAGTTACTGAACTTCCATGTAAATACTGGCCATCAAAGACAGCAAAATACCGATGCCGGCCAGTTACTGGAACCTCCATGGAAAGACTGGCCAGCAAAGACAGCAAAAACCCGATGCCGGCCAGACACTGTAACTTGTTCGGCTGAACTGGCCAGTGAGCAAGACGAAACCCCGACGCCGGCCGGGGCCGGTAGCTCACCGGCGCCAATGGCCGGGCGCCGCCATCCTGTTACCGGGACCGGCCGGCGTAGTCCCGATACCGGCCGACGCGGTGTGCTACCTGGGAATACGCGCTGCATGCTACAAGCTATTCATGTATTATTTCCGAGGATAACAAAACCCTTTAATTATGCGAATACGAGGGATCTCAAATGGTCAGTACTATGCTGTCCCAGGCATCGCAGTTTCGGTTTTAAAATTTCCTGTCAGCACACAGTAAGAAACAATTTCCTGGAAACAATATTTCTCTTGCAAATATTAAGTGAAGTCTTCGATTTTTCGATTGTTTATGTAGAGGAGTTTAGCGGATGTTTAATATTTCTTGCGGTATCTTAATATTCTAAATTCGAAAAAAAAAGCTTATGCTTTTCTTGACGCACAATATTTTTCTCTATCTCTACGTTTGGTTCAAAGCGATGGTATAGAAAGAGACGGGGTAAGGGGCGCGTTTAAATATTGCATTCAAAATCGAGTTTTTTTAGAATGGCCGGGCTGGTGACGGGTAAACGCGGACGATTATATTCTCATCTCAGTTTTTGTATCGCCAACCTTGCACCGATTTCACGGGTGGTAATGTCAGCATGCCCATAGCCCTTCCTGAATCTTCCAAAATTTTCTAAAATCCACTAATTTTGTGTTTTTTGATGATGCTCTACTACGTTATAATTAGAATTATGTTTTTTCTTACAAACTGGAACGTTCATTCAGAAGATTTAGTTAATAATCTTACTTATCGTGACAGCTCCTCTGTTACGTCCAAAATCGCCGTGTTACTCATCTGCCGTGACTGCAAAAGTGTGGCGTTCACGGCTTTTCTTAAAAAGGACATGTAAAGCCTAAAAAGCACAAATTCTATGTACGTACGGTGTTCACCTTTATTAATGTTCCTAGCGCAGGAATGCGCATAATTAGTATTTTTATATTTGCATTTCAGGCGCCGCTTAGGGAGACGTAGCAAGGAGACTAACAAATTAATTCCTGATCTTCACGGTAAGCGAGAGGGTCAGAAGATGCTCCGGACCACAGATTTATGCTGAATCTTGAGAAAATCTGAGTTTAACCAGGTATTTCCGAGAGATGTAAAACGAATCGCGATTGATATTCGCCGTGTCTGCTAGTTGGTAATACGAATTACTGAGTGGGATTTGTAAGTTGGTAGCCGTTTTCGCAGAAGATGGTCTTTACTGAATAGAATTAACATTGTTTGCTTTGAAGCAGTTGGAGAAAGTCAAATTCAACATGTTTTTAAAATGACGTTTTGGCCAATTAGTTCACAAATAAAATTTGACGAGAACGGTTGTCGTCAGATGATGATCATAAAAATCACATTCAACGGATATCTCTTAGAAATTTCACTTACATTCGTGGTGAGATTTCTACAACACCAAACCTGAAAATCAACAACAAATTATGACTGTATATTTTTATTCTACGTAAAACTCTAAGGCCGCAAGTGTACGTGTGTCGTCGAAAAATAGTGTTTTTCATGACAAGATATCCTACGCGTTGCCCAACTCTTTGTACACTCCAAACGGAGCTCTAACGATACAACCTGATGCCAAAGTTTAAAACTCACTGTTTGCAGATTCGAAAGTTAGAAGCAATTTATTTTAATTTTACACTGGCAAAATGAGTCCCGTATTCGGTAGCCGACGTCGCTCCTTTTCATCCGTTGCTGGACTTCGTCGACTGCCCTCGTCTTATTGCGAAAGTTCCTAAAACTGTTCATAAGATTTGAGTCAGCAAGTTCTAAAACTTTGGCATCAGGTTCGAGCACCGAGCGCTACATTTGGCCAAAGACTGAGCGTTTAGTTATTCGTAATTTAGCTTTGCGCTGAAACATGTAAATGTAGATGTTTGTTTGCGTGTTCGTTATGTTTGTTCAAGCACACCACCAAACTTCTAGATACGCCTTGTTCCCTTGGCATTTGAGAATTGTGCACAAGCGGTCACGCCACGGCCAATTTTTTTTTTTTTTTAATTTTAAGTGGCTGAACGTTTTGTAACTCTAAATAGCAGCTTTTCCGAAGAGAGGAATTTTCACATCACAGCGTATTCTTACACCTTCAAAGAAACATTATTGAATATATTTGGAGAGCAACAAATGGATTATTTACAGGTATCGCCTATTCTGGAATGGTCTGCGTGAAAGGCTGGAATGTGGGAATTTGCGAGGATGAACCTCCTCTGTACTATGGATTCACCCAAATAGCCCACGAAATCGGGCATATGTAAGTATCTTGTCGCTGCCTTTATAAACACATGTGCTCAGCGTATCACCCGTGAAAAGGTTTTTTAGCAACCGTTAGTAAATCCCATGCCTTTTTACTATCGCTACGGACAATGCGATAAGGGCCGATAAGAAGCATGACCATACTGAGCTTTGTTTTGCGTTTCTTAATCTGTCCCATATTATAGCGTTGAGCATTAGACGGTTTTCTTAGCATCAACATTATTTTCGCAGGCTGGGGAGCACGCACGATGGAAATGGTCCCTTGAAAAGTCTGCGAAATCATCCTGGTGCTGTTGACTGCAAGTTACCAGAGAAATACATTATGAAACCTCAAGGGCCTCTTGGACCGCCTTTCGCGTTTTCGCACTGTAGTGAGCTGCAGATGCAATTTGTTTTGAAGTAAGTATTTGCTTGAACTTCCTTAGGCGCTGGCATCATCGAACCTTTATTCTTTTTTTGCCCCGTGGCATTTCCTATGCTATTATTTCATCCTAATTTTGAATGTATCGTTTGCCAGTTGACGGGGATGTTAGTTCCAATCGTAGTTACTTGAATCGTAGTTTACTGAAAAGGTGGCTGAATCCACCAAAAGATTGACGACGCTAAAAGCGTTACCACGAAACGCGCCACGTTCCTTAAGCTTTCAGCGATAGTTGAAATGAACTTGCAGCTCACCTGTCATTAAAGAGGAAACGAGGCTGCAAGTTCACAACGAAAATGCATAGTATTTAGGTTGTCCTGTTATTCTCGATATAAACAAATTATGGTCATTATATCGACTTTAAGAAACATCAAACCGTTTATCAAAAGCTAGCTGAATCCATTAAACGCGACAAATAATTTTTTTATTTTTAGAGTCCCAGTACATCTGTCGGTTGTTTAGTGTAAACGAACTGAACCGAAAGAAACGCAAGGTTGATTGTTTCGAACCCCTGATGCAACCAGTCGGACAACTCTATTTGGCAAAACGAGAAAGACGCGTTTCCGGTGACCCTCTCACATCGCGCCAACAAGAACAGCAGAGCAACATGTTGCTGTCGCCCGAATTCCGTGTTGGCCGATTTTTTGTCTGACCACGCTATCACATCGCGCTGACGCCGGGCCCAACGCTTGGAACACTCAGCCATCTTGATTGTTTACCTTCGTTCGTGTGTGGCGAAGCGTCGCTGGAATTGGCGACTCTTCAACACTCTAAAAAAATCTGTGGCTCTACTTTCACGCACAACATTCGCAGAACCAATCAGTGCAAATTGCGGAGCAGCTCAGCGAATATCGATGCCGAAACATCTGTTTAGAACCAAAAAACGCAGTCTGAGTTGTGACATTAAGCAATGCAAGCATGCCGTTTTGCATTGCTTAATGTCACAACTGAACTCAGACTGCGTTTTTTGGTCTAAATTTATGTTTCGGCATCGTCATTTGCTGAGGTGCCTCCGTAAGTTGCGCTGATTGGCTCTCCGAGTATTCTGCGTGAGAGTAGACGCAGAGACTTTTCTTTAGAGTAAATGTGGTTCACTCTAAGTGAGTGTGTGGGTGAATGTGGTAGAGCGTTCGAAGGGCCGGAAATTGCTACGGCACGACATCAACTAGTGACTGTGGTTTGAAAGCTTGACACGGGGAGTACTTTCCAACCTTCATTTTATGAAGATATTCTTCATTCGCTGACAACAATATAGCACTATACGAGGAAAATGAAATTGCCGGTAGATGTTAGGAATTTACGACATCGTATGAGGAATTGCTGTTCAGTTTTTTTCTCTCATGCAATTCCGATTTCTACTGTAAAATTCAGTTAGCACCTGCAGTTCCCAAAGCTAATTTTTAGCGAGGTGTTAAGCTGAACTGACAGTGCTTAAAAACTGCGACACCGGCATTATCGGCCTTCATAACAATAGGTAAAATGATTCTTTTTCCACTCTGTATACTTGCTTCCGCCTGCTATGTGATCGCTTCATTCCCCAAGACGTCCTGCGGATTTTACAATCAATTCAGGTGTCTGGTAACGGCTGTTTCCTAGTGCCATGCATGCAGGCTAAAATATTGCATTCTTTGATTGCATTTGCAAAGTAGGACGAAATCCCCCAAATGTGTGTAAATGAAACAAAGAAAACGAAAAATTAGTTCTTTATAGAAGAGGTACGCGACCTTATAAAAACGAACTTGAAATAATTTGGAATGCAGTTAACCGCAAGCACACTTCCAATCCCTTTCACTTTACTGATTCTTCGAGAAAAGAGCTGGATGCTGTTGATGTATGTGAACGATTTGGCATTTTGTTTATAGAATTATTTTCTGATTAGTGAAATGTTTTGTGATGAGACCTTTCCCTTGCTAGTTATTTTACCTGAAGATAGTATACTAACTCTTATGGCTTAAATTACAATGTGTGCGACTGCTATTCAGAAACTAATAGAAAAGTTTCGACCAAGTTCAGCTCCAGTACCTTATATATTTTCAACAAAAGTGGTTAGGCTCTGCAAATAAGAAGCTTCCTCCTTTTCTGTGTTTACTTTTCCAACAATCCTTATGTACTTGTAAAATTCCTACGATTTGGAAAGAAACAAAATTCACCACACTTTTTAAGACCGGTCAAAAAAATTAGTTAACGAATTATAGACCAATCTCTCTGACAAACGTACCTAGTAAGCTGATTGACTAGACATGTACAAATTACTCAAAAAAGGTAGTTAAGTTAAGTTACTGAGTACCGACGCCAAAAGTAATTGGAGTAGAGTAGAAATTACGCATTCGTAATAGTAATTGAGTAAACTACTAACTACTGTAAAAAGTAGCGAGTTACTTTGAAGTTACTTTTGAAGTTACTCTTTTATATTTTTGTGGTAGAAAAATGAACAGCAGTTTTGATCAATGAAAAACCCTGCGCGCCTAAAGTAAATGCAGCCATTTCATGGCTTGCGTTCTCGCCAAAATAGTTTATTCGCTCGCAGAAGCAATTGACTTTCAAAGTTCTTGATAGGAGAGTTTTCCCCTTTTCCTTCTAAAGACGTCCCCAGCCAAGCTAAATAGACGTTCCACCGATGGGCTGGATGGAACGTCACCATTGAATTTGAGAAACAAGCTGTGCAGGGTCGGGTAAGCGAGTGTCGGCATCTTAGGTGTCCATGACGAAATATGTGAGGTTTGTTTGCCTCGGGTAGAAGGTGTTTTATATCAAACTTTCCTCCTTTTTTTTTTCTTCGTCAAGTTGAGATTGTTATGACTGGCCCTCTTTATTCTGACGTCGTTCTGAGGGTACGCTGAGCGAGTGCACCAGACCGTCAAGGGTTCAAGTCTCGCACCACGACGATGAGATCATCCGGACGACTGCGCGTCCCGGTGTGGTGCTAGTGCTACACTACTGAAAAAAAATTGCTTTGGTTTAACAGAAGATGGAATCGAAGTATACTTCGCCGCTGACGCCAGGTCCAACAAAAGGATCTCCCAAGGGTAACTCGCAATCCTCGCCGGCGACTACAATATTCTGACGCGCCTGAATCGTTTTTAACAAAGAGGTCTCTAAGGCATGGATGGTCGGAAGTACGCGAAGGATTACGTGAACAAGCATCGTCGCTGGTAGCGGGAACGTGCTCCCATGAACGGATTATCCGTACCAGGGTTTGTGCGCGGGGCAGTCCGGCTTTGCAAAGGCGTATGCGCTGACGGCAAGGCGCCCAGCTGCGAAGGCATTCCAGTGGCGCCTCCCGTGGAACCTACCGCTTGAGTAAGAACTCACTAAAGACAGACAACACGAAAACAACAACTCTCAGAGTGCCCCCGTCTTTCACGGTTGCAGCTGGCAACGCGGCGCCTGCGTGCATTACCGGATTAGGTCAATACCCGACCAAGGATTGTTCAGCATCTCTTCCTGCGTTCGTGCGTGCCGGTGTTATGTTTTGGCTGCTCGTCGCCACCTTGGCCCAAGGACCCCTTCCCGAACAAGGGGGCCCCTTGTTCGGGAATGTCACTCCATCTGCCGGCGTGATGGGCAAAATTAGCACTATATAATTTCGAAAGTAGTTAGTAATTTGAGAAGTAGTTACGTGAAAATAGTTGTTAAATTAAGCTACTAATTACCCAAATCAAGTTGTAATTGAAAGTTACCAAGTTACTCGAAAGAGTAGTTAAACTACAGTAGTTTGAGTAGAGTAGTTGAACTACGTCCAAGTCTGTAGGGAGCATGCACTTTTCTGGAATATTATGGATGATTTGTCGGACAACAACTTGCTCTGTGTAGCAAAATGATTTGTTGGCCTAGTTGGTTAAACATTACGAAAATTAAAAAGCGCAAAAGACAAGGACAAGAGGGAGACAACACAGGACAAGCGCTTTGTCCTGTGTTGTCTCCCTCTTGTCCTTGTCTTTTGCGCTTTTTAATTTTCGTATTGCTCTGTGTAAACCAGCACAGTTTCCGGCGGTATCATTCTTGAGAAACCCAGCTCTTTGAATTTGTCCCAGACCTTCACCAGAACCTTCACTCTAAAATTTACTCATGCAATTTTATGGACTTGAAAAAGGCATTTGACCAGGTACCACATCAACGGCTTCTTCTTAAATTACGCGCTTTTCAAATAGAACCATCTGTCATACAGTGTAATTGAACTTCCTCGTCGACCGCTCGGAAAGTGTCTGCTATGAACGCGAAACCTCATGTCATCGGGAAGTAAAACCAGCAGTACCACAGGGGACCGTCCTGTGCCCACTACTTTCCTTTTGTACGTAAACGACTTGTCGGCTACTATCCAGTCCACCATCCGTTTTAATGCCGATGATTGTATGATTTATAGAAAACCATTTAGGCATTCATAATTATATTGAACTTTAGAACGACCTAATAAAAATTAAACATGCTCTCTAATGTAACAAATGAAGATAAATATTTCCAAAAACAAAATGTGGAAATTTTAGTACTAGGCTAAATCCAGCAGAGTTTAACACACACTCTCTTCGATGGGGTTCTTGAACACGTGCATACATACATATATCTTGGGGTTCATTTCGCATCAAACTTGCCTTGGAAAGCCCACATCAATCACATAAGTGTAAAGGCAAATCAAAACCTCGGTTTCCTAAGTCGAAATTTTCACATGGCCACCTGGGAATAAAAGCTGGTAGCATATACCACCCTCATTCGATCTGAACTTGATTGCGCTTCTTTAATATGAAAACCACATCAGTTTTATTTGACACAGACTAGAATCATTGCAAAATAGAGCTACACGCTTCATTCTTAAGAACTCCACGCGCACAAGCATCACCTCACTAAAGGAAAAACTCGGAGTACCAACTCTTGCACAAAGAAGGAAAATCTAAAGACTTGCATCATTGCATACTTTGTACCACCACTGCCCCTCGAAGAGAGAACTGTATTGCCGGGCTGTACCACATATTTCCACGCGTACTGACGATTCTCAAAAACTTCATTTGGTCACTCTACGAACAAACCCTTTTTATATTATCCCCATTACAGTTGGCTATATACGAATGCAACTCCCTTCCTCATAATATTGTAATCATGCAAGAATCCTCTGGTTTCAGAGCTTCTCTTACCATTTACTTAAGCCCATAGCAACCGTAACACCTGTTTTCTTGTTTTATTTATTTCCTGTTTGTGTTTTGAATAGGGTTGTACGTGTCCCCTTTATGTGAAGCCCGATGGGCGCCTTAAGGGTATAATAACTGAAATAAAATGAAATCAAGAACCATGATCATAGCGGTCGTTTTAATGCTCTTATTTTCTAACCATCGCTTTCTTCCGTTATTTTATTAGTAGTTTATCAGCAGGCGAGTATGGACACGCCAATTTATTTCACTAGCAGTAATGTGAGCTCGTTCTCTCGGTAGTTTTAATTTCAACAACAGTCTGTTTGTTCGCGACCGCCACTGTGACCTTTTCGACAAGCACTTGCCATAATTTTGCAGTGAATACATTCATGTGATTATTTTAGAGGCACTACTTCCTTAATTATTGTTGGATAATGTTTTCCAAGTGTTTATATCAGTAAGCTCATAAGAAAATGACGTTGACAAAAAACTAGCTCTGCCCTTAAAGCCATCCGCGTTGTCTTGTTGTCGGCCTGAAATTCGCCCAGCCAGTCATCAGAGCAGCACACGTTGTCCAGAACAAGTTGCTTCTGTTTTTGTTGCCGAAAGCTGTCATACCGAAGTAACTTTTTCGTTGTCATCCATGCTGTGCTACTGTTGCCGCGATGTGACCGGGTTGTCGGACAACTTGGGAAGGGAGCAACAAGTTGCACGCTTGTTGGACAATATGTTGTGTTGCTGTTGCCGTCGTGTTGCTTCAGCGTGACAGGGCCCTTAGAATTTTCGTAGGCACGCATTTTGGATAATCACTCTAATTAAAGAGAAATTAGTATATCGGCTGCCTTATGCTAGTGGAAGAATGCTTTTCTCTCTTTCTTCGTGTGTGTTCATTAACATTTAAATGTTGTATTATTAATCTAATCTCACGAATCAGGAAAACATCCGTTATTAAAATATTCCCTGAAAAAAACGCACAAGGCGGACAAAGGAAAACACATCTCCAAACACAATTATTTCTCTTAGCTGTGTTAAGATTTGTGTTTGTCCTTTGTCCCCTTGGTCTTCTTCTGCAGCGATTATTTTCATCATGCTTTTCCAGCTCGCTTGCACCTTTGCATTATTTCCATTATCATAATGACCTTATGCAGGCCGTTTACCCTTCTGTATTAAAAAATCTTATTGTATGAGAAATTTCTCCGTCGAATAAACACATATATAAGATATATAAGAACATAAAAAAACTATATAAGAAATATATAAAAAAAAACTTGTGAAAACTTTTTCAGATGCTCTTATATACCTTATATACTTGTTTTAACGGTTCTTATATGGTTCTCATATGTTGTTATAAACCTTGCATGATTGGTATGTGTTTATTGGACAAAATAAATTTTTCATAGAAGTGGATTTTCACTAGGGCTGTTGATGTTCGACCGGCGGCAGCTGATAAAATTCGTTTGCTCTACTGACGCCTAACTCCAGATTAGTTCAGTTGGTAGAGAGCTCTACTGGAAATAGAGAGGTTCCTGATTCGATACTAGGACCAGGCGAACCTTTTCTGTCGTACACCAGTCACCTAGCTGTGTTTGGAGATTGGTGTTACTCCTTTGTCCCCGTTGTTCCTCTTCTCCAGGAAATATTTTAATCATTCTAGTGCAGCTCGCTTGCACATTTGGATTAATGGCATTATCATAAAAGCCTCCATATTTCTCCCATCGCACACACCCAGATTTCAATATACTTTTATTTTCAGACATATAATGATCGATTCTTTTTTATTTGCAGGCTACGTGGAGAGCAATGCTGGAAAACACAATCCGACTATGACTTTTTTAACGTCACCAAGGAGGTTGCGGGCCGTTTCTTCACCGCGGAGAGGTTTTGTCAAAACATTAACCCGGAGCTATACACTTGGGCCGTGAGCATCACACCCCTTCCCCTTTGTATACCTTTCCTATCCTTGAAATCCGCTGCCCTACCTCTCGAATATGCGCGCCGCATGCTGAAGGTCTGTCCAAACAGGACACGTTTTGTGCAGCCACAGCATTTGCTGTCGCTGCAAAGGAATGGTTTCTTTCGGTTTAGGTCCGCTTGCAAACATTTTTTTTTCTGTTTCTTTTTTTGCGTTGGGGGGATGCTATTCACGACTTGGGTTCTTCGGAGAGGTTTTAGGGGTGCTCATCACCTGGATCCAGAGTCACACGCTTTGCTGGCTGTCGTCAAGACCCCACCATTGTTGGCAACCGCCAATCTTCTGAAAAAAAGGGAGAGGAGGGGCCGACAGTGGGGACGCGAGGAGGAAAGGCGTGCTGTTTGTATGGTTGATGCCCTCACTGAAAACGTAGGTGCGTGCAGCAAACTTCACGCTTTTTGGAAGCGTGCACACTTCTTTTTTTTTTTTTCCGTGCACGGCATTTTTTTTTTCTGTTTAGGCAACCCCTGAGTCGTGCGCTAATCAACACGTTTTTGATAAGAAAAGCCACCTTTCAAATAATGCCGATTTTGTCTGTGCTGTGTCATGAACATATGTCACGGCTCAGGCTCGCATAGAGCTACGTTCTTTATGGTTGGAGAAGTACAATCTAGACTTTTTGGCTCTGTAAAAAAGAACATAGACTTGTTTTAAATTTGTTGATTCCTATTACCTCAAACGCCTCTTCGGCATTGCATATATAAGGACGAGACCGTTGGATATGAAACCTAGACATAACCGGTCGTGAAATAGCTAAACAGTTACCGGAAATAGAACCTACTGCACAATACATTATCTTCCATAAAAAATAATACAAGTGCGACTAAAGTTCAATGTGTTCATCCAGTTAGGGATCTTACAGGCCCATAGTAATAAAATGTGTCAACACCTTTTATTCGGTGACCATCTATATCAATTGTAAATGCCATCGCTTTCCGAGACCCTTAGACATTTGCTGTGTCTGTGGTTATGTGCACATATGTTCCACACAATTTGATATCTAAATAATATTGAAAACGTAATCAAACATTTTTCCCACAGCCAATATTTAAAGTTAACTACCTTTGTTGCTACAAATATTTTCAGAGTATGAAGAACTGCGTCATAACGTGCCGTGATTCGGTATCCGGTATGTACGCAACTGTGGACACCTACTTCGCTCCATTTGGCTACCCATGCGGGAAAAATGGACAGGTAGGATATCACAAAATACATTTGCTTTAAGTTTTCATGCAGCTTAGGGGCATAGGTGTCTCTGATGAGTGCAGAGAAAAGAACCTGTCAGTTAGGGGAGCTAGAGGACCAGCAATTTAAGAAACGCATTAAGTGTCGGGTACTCAACGTCTTACCATTGCTCGGTAGTCAATAAGATTTCGGTATCAGTGGATAAGAACGTCGAAGAGCCGATCACGCTCTCAGAATCAAGACCCTAATGGTCCACACCCTGCGATCTTTCAACTGACAGCGACTCTATGTGTAATATCCGGCTCCAGTGAATCTTCAGTGATAGGCAGCCTGTTCTTTTTGGCTTTCTAAATTTGTTTTCAAAAAGGCCGTGATTGCTACACTAATACAGTCTGCCAACTTTAATGGTGCGAAAATATGACGCCCCCAGCGACCTTCATTGGGACTCGAAGTCAACTACCATGCTTGACAGAATACATTTTTCTTAAATAAATGCTGTGACGGTGCTTCTCAAATTGTCCTACCAGGTACACCTGAGTCACCCAGGGTGGATAGATTGGACAAAAAAAAAGCTGAACTTCTCTTTGTTGCACCATCAGAGGAAGATAAGCTCCTTTACTCTCGATGATTAGAAGTTTCCTTTTCCCCACTCTCCTCTTCTCTGGAGTTTCTTCTGCATTGTGGAAAGAGGGAAGGAGTTCGTGAGAGGAGCTTATTGTGCAATGCTTAGAGTCTACCTTTCTCCGAACCATTTTAAAAATATAATAGGCCTTTTTTTGTAAAGGGTTATGGGTTGGGTTCACCAAAAAGATGCTTTTTTTCAATTTATGAGGAAAATCGGACAGTTAAAATTCGGCATCGAATGTAAAGAGGTAACTAAACCTCAAGCAGATTTGCAATACAAGCGGTACATCGATACTTTTTTTTTTTAGAACTGACATAAAAATATATATTTCACATGTAGCTTGAAAGAAAGATACAGATACTCAAAAGTTTGCCTAAGGTACTATCGGGATACATGTGTACCGTGACACTGCCCAGTTCTGTTCATCTCCGATTTGAGATTTAACGGAGAGGATCGCCAGCAAGAGCAGTCTTTCGAACTCCGTAGAAGATAAAAACGACAACAGATTGACCAAGCGCCGCTTACCCATTTCAAGCATTCTTAGTCTGATGTTAATTACCAACAACTCTTTTAAGAGAAGCAAAAATAAATTGGAACTGTGCTACCGGATGACTCGTTCAAAGCAACGAAACCCCTTTCGGCATGCCATATGTTGGTAAGGAGAGTTTGTCACATAAGGAGAGTTTGTCACAAATTGCAAACAGCTCAGTCACACGTAAAAGTGATATTGACGCAGTAGGCGTTTTTTCTATATTAGTATATACTGCGCATACGTGTACCGGGTGTATTTTTTTTTGTCTTAAGTTGTTTGCACATGGATATACTCCTGTACTACACCTATATGTATTCAGACATATCTTCTTGCTAACCTTGTCCGATTTTTGTTGAATGCTTATTTTTAGCGTGTATCATGATCCAAAAACTGAAACCAGACCAGTACGCGTAATAAAGAGGTCCTACGTTAAATCTTCTTCTTGGTGCTTAGAATCGCGTACCAAGCATAAATTGACGGCTGGCTAACATTCCTCGGTGTCTCGAAACGTACAAATTTGAGAAATCTGAGATGAAAAGTTTTCTCTCTTTTTCAGCGGTGCTGGTTCGGAAACTGCACAAATATTGACCGTGAGGTCTCTTAAACAGTTAAAAGGTGGAAAATTGCTGTCTCGAATATCCATGCCTCTGAAGTATAAATAAAAGCGTTTCTTTTTGCCTTTCGCATTGAGTGTTGTATGAGAAAATAATTACAGTAAATATTTGTATTTACAATATCTTTTTACAATAAAATTCCTATTAAAACGTTTTATGAACTTCATTTAGCTTTAGCTGCAAAAATAACATGAAAAACGAAATACACGAACTTGACCTAACGAGTCATTTTGCTTTAAGTTTACCACAGTTTAAGACATACTTCTGGGCAGCACTTCAGCAACTTGTATCAGATCAATCGAAGCAAATCAATTTTATTTATCAATTGCCACACACTAAACAACAGCATGCACAAAAAAAGCCTTTGTTTCGGTTGCGCAGGATAGCTTTCTGGTTATCGCGTATCTTCTCGCACGTGTCAGTATATTTGGTCGCCGCTGCAACAAAACGGAGTCATGGGTAAACTTAAAGTACATAGTTGGTTCTAGAAAATAAAACCGGTTTTACTTTTTGCACAATAAAACTACGTATCTCAGAAATTCAGAACATCGTGAATAAACCGAATTCAAACGCATTCAAACTGAACTGTCTGTAGGAACTTTATTTCTTGTCGACACCGTTCATTGCCAATCGCGTTGTGAGCGGCGCTATCCCATTACGAAGATCAATAGTCGTTGCGTGTCGCTGTAGCGCACCAAGTGAGACAAAACACTGTGAGAGACTGAACGCAGAGCTCAATCAGCTTTGCTAACCCTAGATCTGACACAAGTGTGGTCCTGCTCGAGGAAGCTCAGCGTGAAAGAAACGCAGTCTTGGGCTCGCGCAGATCCGTGTACCGATGTTTCAGTACATCACAGGCGCAAAAGGGTCTTGGATGAAAAGCTGGATGAATGTGCAGGAAAGATCGCGGCGTGCTAGACGAGGTCTGACAGAAGCCTTTTGACATGAACCCGCAAGAGTACAGGAAACTGCTGGCGCAGCCGAGAACAGTTTCTGCAGCTCCCTTCACGCCTAGAACCAAGAATTGCGGGACAAACCGGACAAAACACAATGATTTCCCAGTTCTGTTTTTCTCAACAGAAAACAAAAACAACAACAACAGGGTCTTATGTTGATACCACACGAAACGCTTTTCAAGTTACACGCCTCCCGGCTCTTCAGTCTTTTCGCTCTGCGCGCCCGTGGACTGAAATAATATTTTATTTCTATAGTAATAATTCGTTCTGTCCAAAAACAAAATTTTCGTTGCTATTAAAAAAAAAAAAAGACACGAATCTGTCAAAAAAAAAAAAAAAAACTTACAGTCGAAAGAGAGGAGGAGCGGACTAGGCTCATTTCGGCCAATCACAGGACGAGCCTCAATCATAGGTCGTCATTTTATGCTGTCCTCAATCAAACTCACGATCACCATTTTTTCCGCAATCAGAACTCACGCCCAATCACAATCCCGATTTATTCAAAATAGGTTCACCACCGGACTCACCTTCACGGTTCCACAGAAAACCAAAACTCGCTCGCCGTCATCATCACGGTTGTCCCGCTCACAGATTCTCACGGTCATCACACTCACAGGTCCTCATGGTCCTCACACTCGCAGGTCATCACGGTCCTTCGGCCCTCACACTCACATGTCATCATGCTCATCACACTCACATGTCCTTACGGTCCTGACACATCACAGTCCTCACCCTCACAGGTCCTCACACTCACAGCTCTTCACGGTCCTCACCAGGGTGTAAGATAGACAGGTGGGGAAACGGTCCATAGAAGCCTACCGCAGCGCCGAGACCGTATTGTGTACTCGTCTACTTGCGGTACCCCCGACTTGCGTCACATGGCGCTGCGGCGAGAAGGAAAAAATTGGACTCGAATTTGCGTGGAACTTTATGGGAGAGTGCGCAAAATCAACCGAGAGCACGACAGTCCTCAATCAAAAATCCACGAGAAACCATCTCCGTCAGTTTAGCCGGTCGCCACCGGTCGCCCACCTGGAATGAGAGTTCGCGGTGCTCCACATAGATGGCGCCACAAAAAACGAGAAAACCGAGAGGGACACAATGCGGTCACTCATTTGGCTCTCGTTTCCCCACCTGTCTATCTTACACCCTGGTCCTCACACTCACACAGGTCCTCACGCTCATCATACTTACAGGTCATCACGCTTACAAGTTACTTTCTTCGTGTGTTTTTTTCTCGCAAGCCGTTGGTTTGTTTTCGCCGTGAGTCGTACGGTGGAGAAACTACCCCAAAAAAGTAAACTTCTGAACCGCCTATTCAATTTGAACGAAATGCACTATGTTTATGTTTATGCTTCGCACATCTCTATCAAATTTTGTTAACCTGGATGAAATACGAAAGAAACTAAATGCAAGCTGACGAAAACGGCGGTAAAACACAAATGCGCCTCCCGACAGGTTACGTAGACAACGTCGCATTGATTAGAGCATCGCCTCGCTGTGCATACCTCGCTTAATTGTACACATATAAACGATTATTACATTTATCTCCTCCGTTTTTTTTCTTTTTTTGTGCCACCCACACGTATTTCTACGGAAGTTTATGGAGCATATATATAAACATATGCATCGACCATTTCTTTTATCTGTTTTTGGAGGGTGTTCATATTAGGTAATCTGGTTTCACTTGACGCACCTTCGGTTTGAAATCTCAACATGATCCTTGTTGGCAGTGGTGTCCGTCAATCGTATGCTATTCAACGAGCAGAGGCCGCGGAGGTCGAGTTTTCTTGTTCACTCGAGTTGCGTCTGCTTTTGTTGATCGACCGTGCTTGTCGGAGTAGGCGGCGATTCAAGGAATCATCGGCCGGCATTGTTTTTCAGTCCTCTCGGCCTTTATAAAATACTGTCAGCGTCTATTTTCTTGATACCTGCAGCCATCCTTGAAATGGTTTTGTTTGGATTGGTTTTGCATGGCTTTGCTTGGTTTGCTTTGGAGTGGTTTGGGGGTTTGGGGTCGTCCCCGTGCGTCTCTCTGTCACGCTCTCGATCACGTAGGGCGGGCCACTTTTCATGTGGCAAGCCGCGTCATTCTTGGTGCGCAGTTTTATAATGGGCAATCAGTTCATCGAGCAAGTTTTTATAGACAGATCGTTTCCTACACATTGCGATGTTTCATCGGCATGCAGATCGTTTCTTCGACATTCGATGCTCGACAGAGCGTTCTACATTTCGTCGACACTATTTTTTTACTCGGACGTCTAGACGACATTTCTTTTTCTCTCCCTTTCGCCTACGTTGCTGGAGTGTTACGTACGGCGTGGCGGCTTTTTGTATACGTTTGGCAGTTTGGGCACGTGCTCGGCCTGTCTAGCGGATATTTGTTTACGTAACGGGAGAGTGCCCTATGAAGCTGAGGCTGGGCGCTCGGCAGCGAGGCGGCCGGACGTAATGGTTGCTTTCTGTGGTGCTCTTGGCTGCGTGCATACTCGAAGCTCGCGAGATGCTCAGTCGTTCCAATCTTTTTCTAAATAGAGTGTTTCTCGACGCAGTGGTGGCCTAGTATACCGCTCCTTTTTTTTATAGAATCACGTGAGGCTTATTTTGTTCTTAGTAATGCACGCGACAAACCAAAACTGATGTTTTGCATTCTCGTCTAGCAAAAGTTCCGAAAAGGGTAGTGGCGTAGAGGTTAACCCGTCGGTTTATGTAGTCTTTAAGAGCCGATGAACGAGGTATTGACATTGTTGTAGCTTGTAGAGTCGGAGCTGGCCGAGATCTATCGTCTACGTCGTATTCTTTGCCATTTGGGCAGCAGACCGATTCTACGGGCTTGAGCTCTCGCTGGAAGCGTAATCCTATTTGTATAGTATTCAGCAGTGCTTATTCGAGTTTACTGTAGTGAACATTTCAGGCTTGACATATCGATAGTTTATTGCTATCAACCAGGAAAACAGAATATCTGTAAACTCCTCCCGACAAAGAAAGAAAACGAGAGCTCGCCGTTTGCTTTGACCGACAGACCGATATCACCAACTGTCTGGAGCGTGCGTGACGCAGGCCATAGTTGTTCTTCACAGGAGGCTGCGGTAGTGCACGAGACGGCTCGTGATCGAAACGCGCAAGCCTACAGCGGCGTTGACCCTCGTGCGGAAAGACTACAGTTCCCGCAATGCATTGCGCCAGAGGAGAGTAGCGAAACTGGCGGTCTATTACCTCAAGCCCGGTTCACACATCTGCGTTCTGAGCAACAGAAACGACAGAAACAACACAAATGGCATGGCATCGGGGCGATTCTGTTCGCATTACAAAGCGTGACAGATAATGTAATGAGCAGCTTTATCAAGCAATCATATGTCTCGGTTGTCGCGGTGTCCTGTCGTTCCTGTCGTTTCTGTCTTTCCTGTAGCTCGGAACGCAGATCTGTGAGGAGGCCTTAACGAGCGAGCATATACGCTGATGTTACGCTTGAACGTCACAGAAAATCGGTCTTCCCGCCTTTTTGATGTGTTGCCACGGGTAGGAATACTAGCGGAGTCTATTCAGGTGATTTGTTCGGCACACAAGCGTCAGTACAGGTTATGACTTTGTCAACACTGTCTGAAGCCTATATTAATCGTAAAATAAAATCTCAAAGGCGCTTCCAAGGCCCCTTTAAGTGTGCGTGCTTGCACGACATGAAGTGTCACAGCTTTGCGACCGCAACACCTTACGCGGGCACAATGTCCACAAATATAGAAATTGAACTGGGCGGTGTTTGTAAATACAATATTTAGCGTTATTTAGCGCATTTAGTTCCCGGAAATTAGCAGCACTTTCGGGAAGCTGAATTTGCGTGGTATTTCAAACATGACAAACGGTTTCTCTACTCATTTAGTCGCACATTCACAAGAAATATTATAATTTATTTTACATAATCATTAAACCCGCGGCGTTTCTGTAACCATCAGTTCTAGACAGATTCTCTGTCGCTCGGTTAACAACTATTCATTCAACGCCGTAGCGCACTTCACAGGCCCCCTGATCAATCTTGCCCTCTGCTACACCATT